GTATCTATAAGGGTGGACGTGTACAGCATACTGCTCATTGACTAGCGGTATGCGATAATCGAACTCCCGGTGGGGTGGTAGTCCCTTAGGCTCGCCCAGTACTCCCTCAAACTCCTCGAAAAGCTCTCGCGCATCTCCTTGCTGCTGCTCGTCCTTGCCCACATGTGCCCCAGTGTTCTCGACTACTACTGCAAAAATTTGGCCGCCACCTCGCCAAACTCTTTCAATGCTCTTCAATCCAACCTCCTTAGTAACCTTTTCTCCTCCAGAGTAACTCTCTTTCCTCCAGATCTGAACTCCATGACTCCGGTGCGGTAGTCCGTGGTCACCCTTCTTAACCCTTCTAGCTATTGCACTCCTAGGAGCACGTCCGGTCCGACCAAGGGTAGGGCAAAGAGATCGGCTTCCACAATAACTCCTTGGAACTTGATGGGTACCTTATGGAAGGACTCGGTGCATTGTGGCCTCTCACCGTTGGCTACTCAAACTTCAAATGGCTCAATCTTTGTGGTTGGCAAATTCAGCTTTTGGGACAAGTCGGCATTGATGAAGTTGTGTGATGACCCGTTATCTACGAGCACGATCACTCGTCAGTCCTTGACCCAAGCTGGTAGCCTCATTGTCCTTGACCCTCTGATCACAACCATTGCATGCATCGAGATTTCAGCCTCCTCATCGAATGCTTTAATGTCGTCTACTGGCCCTGGTTCTTTCTCGACTTCAGCTTCTTCATCGTCGGAGTTGGCAACCTCTATAACAAAGGCTTGCTTGCAGCGATGCCCTGGCATAAATTTTTTCTCGCACTTGAAACAAAGTCTCTTCTCGCATCGGCGTTTGATCTCCTCAGGTGTGAGTTGCTTGACTATTGGCCCCAGTGATCGAGCATTGATGGCTGGTGGTGCACCCGCGGTTGGTTGGCTCGTGCCTGTGCGGCGTGTGTCGGTGAAGCGGGCGTCCGCCCGTCCCCTTCGCGTTGCCGCTAGGTGATCCTCGCGTCGTCGGGCAACTTCCATAGCGGCATGCATGGTCTCTGGTCGTTCCAGACGTACCTCAACCGCCAAGTCATACTTCAGACCGCCTATGAATGCCCCTACCAATGCAGTTTCGGCCCAGCCCCATACTCGACATGCTAAACGCTCAAATTCCTTCAGATAATCGCGCAAATTACCTGTTTGCCTTATACGAGTCAGCGCTTCATCATAGTTGTGGTAGTCGGATGTACCAAAGCGTGTGAGTAACTCTCGCTCAAAATCACCCCATGTGATGATTCGCTGTCGGTTGCTGTAGACGCTTGTAAGCCACTGCCACCACACGTTGGCCTCACCATCTAGATAATATGTTGCGTACCTTACTCGACCATGGCCATCGGTCTCGTTGAGCTCGAAGTACTGCACAGTATGATTGAGCCAAGCCTCGGGGTCAGATCCGTTGAAGGTTGAAAGCACGATCCTCGGCTTGTCAGGCTTTG